CACAGACAACCTCTCGTCAATATGCGTTTTTTGCATTGCATAGCTGCAAAAAACGCATAAAAACTATACCCGCAAAAGCTAACAAACGACGGTCTGGAAAATACTCTGAGATTCTGTTTCAGTGATATAAATCCAGATTTCAATAATCTTGTGTCAAATGTTCAAGCCCAGGGCTCACATTAACCTACTGTTGTTTACTTTTTATGTGTTGAGCAAAAACACTGAGCAAAAACACATATTGTCGAGAGGTAGTTCGCGTATATTTGTGTGTGTGTGTTTGGAAGCGAGTGGACTTTGTCACCCACTTTCAACTCAGCAACCAGGAAAGCTGAAAGGCTGAAATTATGGGAGCATATTCTCACGCTATTTGTCACCCTCACGTTTTAAAGTTATCGCTCAGACGTGCCTAGATCCCGCGTACGAGTCCCCCAAAAAATCATGCAGGTTTTTTTGGCGGGAGACGATTTTGGGAACCAGACAAGATAAAACGCTGAAAATTTGCAAGGATATTTCATTTGCTTGCATAACTAAAGATTTCAAATTCAGCCATAGCGCACGCTAGAGGAGCGCGTATGGTCACGTAAATTTAGCATGTGGGACTGTGCTAGCTCGAAAACTGACCGGAAAAGATTAGTTGAAATTGTGTCAGAGTATTTATTGTCCATATGGGAAATCGTATACCTAAAGTGAGTTCCGACATGCACTTGCGCCACGATTTAGGGCAATTTAAAGATACTTTTGACGAATTGGCTATTTCGCTTACCGGATAAGAAGCGAGGTTGAAACATCGCTAGAATCTTCCACTCTCATATGTAGTATGACCTCAGTTTGGATGTGAAATAACCTGCAAGCGGGTGTGAGAAATGTTCAATTTTACCGCAAACTAGAAAGTGAGTGCTTTTACAGATTTCATAATTCTATTTCGACTTACTTCAAGTTCGCATTTCTTCAGTGAACGGGCACTTATTCGAAAAACGACCGGACTTCATGCAAAAAAATGATAATCACATACTCTGAAAGTCCATGCGGCTCTACGATGCAATACCTTCATCTCAGCCGAGGCCCTTTCCCTCGCTATGCGGAAAGAGGTCAAAATACACCAGTGTAAGTTCAGGTACGGAGTAGGAACCATTCCTGTTGTTAGTAATTTTCAAGTTTAGCGCAAAAACGCATGACCACGCCGGCAAGTTCAGTGCGTCCCAACCTGAGTCTTATTGAGTAAGCAACCTGACAAAAACTTGTGCAAATGCAAAAACGCATAATGTTGAGAACATGTCTGTGTCCGTGTTCTTTCAGAAGCGAGTTAACTTTTTCACCCATTTTCAACTCAGCGAGGACGAGAGCCATGATGCAACACTACTCTCCCAGCCGACGCTCTTCCCCTTCGCAGGCAAGAAAAGAGCAAAACATAGACACATGAGTTGCGCGTGTTAAACTGTAAAGCAACAACCATTCATGCTGTTAACGATCTGATAGCGTCAAATTTTGCGCAAGAACGCATGATCGCACGGGTAAGCCTGCTGCTTTGTTACCTGAGTTTTATCAAAAGGTGCCCGAAAGCTTAAGTAAATATGTAAATCAGGCCCGTGTGTCACTAAAGGTTGCCCATGCCTGCTCTATGAGATGATGTCAATGTCAGGATTTCCAGTACGTTGACTCTAGGGACAAAGCACTGGCCAGAGCAATCGGAAAAGTTATCAGTTACAGTAACTGCAGAATTAGACCAAGAATTTTACCTATCCAAATGTCCATATGATTAATTACATCGATTCTTATAAAGGCTGCCTATTGCAATGGTTTTACTGACTGCGCTAGGTGTACTGGGCATACTTAAGCACAAAACTCATTAGCCAAAGCTTTTAAAAATTTGATTAACTCAACTTAATTTTATTTTTTCAACTTAGCTAAGGCTCTCTTATTCCCCTTTCATTCCTTATCGATTATTATACAACGGTATTAACTTTATTGCTCTTACTTTAACTTCGTTAGTTCATATGTTTCATAACCCCTGCACTGTCGTGAAAAACTACTGGCCGAAGCACAGATTAACAATTGGCGGACTCTAGCTGTCAGAATAACCATCTTGGGAAATCGCCGGAAAATTGATGTGTCTGAATCGTTTGCATCGTAAAAAAACGATTGAAGGCGAACAATTTAGGCTGGGAAGATATGTTCGAGGCCTGGCTGTATCTTCGACTAGCACCAGAGGCAATGTCCAAGCGATTTTGGTGGATGCTAGCTATTATGATCTTATTCCTTTAATCTGAAAAAGCTTTATTTCCACACATTTTATGAACAAAACAATTAAAAATAAAACCACAGCAGAAGAGACTTCAGAATAAAGCGAAAGAGGCATTCCATGGATCGTCGACGTGCTTTTTGTAGCAAAGCAGGTACGCTACAAAGCATCGTCATGATTTAACAACGGGGAAAAAAGACAGATTTGTGAAGAAAATATTCATTTTTTCAAAGTTGAATGACTAATTTCATTTTTCAATTGATTTTTGAAACTGAAGAATACTGCAAAATGTAAGCACTATTCTAACTCACTGGGAACAAAAAGCAAAAATTGAATATGCTTAATTTACTTTTTCAGGCATCTAAATGCACCACCACAGTGCAAAAATTCAAAACGAAAAAAAGCTGGAAGTGATGTAAAATAAACCTATACGTTGGAGGAATGAACTACGGTCCGATAACTGATGAAATG